CCTCGGCGTTCGTTGCGCCGTCTATCGCACGCCATATGTATTACACTCATCAACAGAAACAAACAAAGAAGAAAGTGCAAATCAGTTTTTTACAGCAAAACGAGCGCGCCGAGTCGCCAAAAAAGTTATACGAGCATTTCAAGCAAATCTCAAGCTACATGGGTAGTGAAATCCGTCGTCCAATCGCCAGAACTGCTCAACTCAACGATTATACGGCTTTGGCGTATACCCGGGCCCGTTGAAGTAAATTCAGATAGTCAGCGATGTTGTGAAAGCTTGCCGCGAGGCGGCGTTTGCGCGCTTCGCGCGGATATCCGGCTGCAGATTGTCTAGAGGGTCTCCTATCTATGCTCCATGTATGCGTGCCATGTTGACGAAATTGTCGTGTGTGACACTACATACCCTATCAGAATCCTCGTTATGGCTTGTACCTTAATAAGTAGAAAGATAAACTTATGGCAAAAAAACAACTAATCATGCTGAATGTACATGGTGGTCAAATCCATACATTACTGTTTTAAACTAAATAAACCGTTTTTATGTTATCCATGAATCAAATTAAGAATATGATTACAGGTTAAACAGAATTTTAATTATTAATATAAATGACTAATGATAAAATTATGGTATCTAATCGCTAGTTTAATTAGGTTTTATGAGAGCCACTTAAATATGCAGATAAATAGTTCCAGATTTAGTATAATTGAATAAAATAATGGTAATATCAGTGATGATATGGGAAAGCTCTATGTCAAAGTTCAAAATTGCTAATGTCAAGGTTTATACGTGTATTCTTAAGATTCTCAGCGGTAATACAGATAGCTTATCAGCAATTAGCAGGAGTTTTGTCAAAAATGCATAAAATACTAATTAGATATAGCAAGTAGTGTGTGGAGTCTCAGATAGTCTATGACTTTATTTTCAAATGATTGTAGTATAAAGAGAGATTTTAAATGATTTTCTACCGTTTAGTCGAAAGAAGACTGTGGCTTTATGAACTAGTGCCAGGGTTAGAACTCATTTCTAGCTTAAGCATCACGTATTGGGACAGTAACTTCGCCTTTCTGCATGGTACACACGTCCGCGATCATATATATGTTTAGCTTGTAATCAGACATTAGGGCCTTTGTTGGCAGTTCATCTTGATAGTCAAGTGTTTTCCCAGGTCGCTCTCGCATCCAAACCTCGTCAAGCTGCTGGGAATCGTTTTTGGACAGACGTACTTCATAGTCACGCAGTACATGGCTCTTGGAAACCTGGTGGACTATCTACGAACACGTGGCCGAAACATCATCACAAAACAGGACCAAATAAACTTTGCCAGGTAGGCACAGCGGCTACCCATAGTTGTTTTGTCGTTGTTACTGTTAGCTTCGGTCAAACCGATGCCACTCGTGGCCTTTATGGACAGTTGTCTGTTCTAAAGCTGTGGTGGTATCAGGTTTTAACTGTAGTTCATGGCGCACGGTTGGTTGCATCGATTACGCTGGTGGATCTTGCATCTATGTTCCATGTATGCATGCTTTCTATGTGTTGATGACCGATTGATGGTAGAGGCGACGGTATGCACACTTTGTCGCATCAGGTGTGGCAGCAGCTTGCATCAGCTGGCTTTATTAGCTGCTAAAGCAGCCAGCGAATATAGCCAGGGCATTTGCTGATTTGTAACAGCTGATGTAACTATAGTGTTCTCAGGCTGGTGTTTTATTAAGAGCATGTTCATCACTAGACGGACTTGCGGCCCCGGTTTTTGCGCACAGCTCGCGGCGAAGCCGCGCCACAAAGCGAATACGCCGCCCCCTTTTTGTCCCCTTAGACAGATATCTGAGACAGGGGTCTGAAAGGCGCACTACCGAAAACTGGGCGCAATCCAACGCGACATTTCGGGATGGACGGCTTGAGGCCATCTCCAACGGCCCCTAAACTTTTTGGGGGTGGCGCGCCTCATGGCTAAGACGTAGTGGCTCCTACAAGAAATGCTGTCAATCAGCAATGACGCGCTCGCTCATTGGCCGCTACGCGATGACGTGCGCTTCTGCCGAGTATAGCGTTACGTCTATCACAGAGCTTTTAACGAAGACGTGTACGGCGCTCCATGTGGGCTGGCGCGGTCTAGATGCTATCTATCTCCAAAAGCGTACGTGCGTGCGAGGTTTTTATCAACCTCTTGACCCCGCGCTGCCCGTGGCGACAGCACGTCGTGCGAGCACGTGCTGGCGCGGCCGTGGCAGTTTTTACACGTAGCTAATCCTACAATACGCCGCCACACTG